CGATGCAAACATAATAGGAACAACTCACGATGTTGTGCGACCATCATACGACCACCTCACGATGTTGTGCGACCATCATACGACCAACGCACGATGTTGTGCGACCATCATACGACCAACTTACGATGTTGTGCGAACATCATACGACCAACTTACGACGTTTTACGATAAACTGGTTTCAATTATATAGAAAAAGAGATGTCTACAAATACAATGCAACTGGTTGTCTCAGCTCAATCCGTCAAAGATCAGTAAAGTGTTTTTTTCAAAAATAGAGTTTTGGATATTAATCTAAAGAATGTTTTCATCGTTAAAAATAAAATGTCTGAGAATGTTGAAGATGTTGTAAATGTTTCTTCAGTTTCCAGATTCGTTTTTTATTCATTTTTCTTCTTCTGATTTCCGCGCGCGTTGAGTTCGACAAAACAGGTTTATCTTCCTTAAGGATTTCTTTACAACCAGGTTTTGAGCGATCCAAGGTGCAATCAACGTACGTTTCCACGTGTTCTTTGATAAAGTTCAACGGTGCTTGACCGTGTGAGAGGACCTGGTAATGAAATTCCTTCAAGTTGAATTTCGTGCCCAGTCTTCTTTCAGCGTCTTTGCGCATGCTCCATATTGCAAGTTGTCCAGTCATGTATGAGGCAGCTTGACCCGCCCAGGACTGGTAACGATTGATTTCCTTTTCGGTGATGTCACTGCTTTCCCATAGATATTCGTGGAACATTTGGACAGCCTGGTCACGTGTCATGTACTTGTAGTGGAGACCTGTATCGATTATAAGGCGTAATGCACGCCATATCTGGGCTTTAAGCATTCCATACCACTTTAGTGGATGATTCTTAAACAGGTCTAAAAAAAGAGTTGGGAAATAAAACAAAGTTTTTAAAATGGTTGGTGAAGGTTTTGTTGCATATGGCATACCAAGCCTGAAATGTATACGTATACCGTTAATAATGATTAATTATTATTATTATACCGTGTTTTTCAGGGTTAACCTTGATTTAGCGTAGAACATTCATGTGTTCCAGTGAAGTTGCGTGGAATTCCTAAGAGTTTGTATTGCTCAAATGTTTTATTCTCTACTTTTTTCTGCTGTATGGCACGTATATTTCATGTGAATTTATTATGACGCTAACATAAGGCTAGTCTTAAATGGAATAGACCTCATTTCAGACCACGTGTCATTCCTTAGAGTATCATTTCTTTCTTTAACGGTTGCGTATGAGAACATGAGACATATGAATATGCGAAACACTCAAACAAAGAGGTGCATTGTTGAATGGAAACGAAATGAAAAAGTCCAACGAACAAATAACATTAAAAGAAATGAAGAAATAGAAAACGCGCGTGCGTGTTGTGTGCAGTTATAAAGCACGCGTGGATTGGCAGAACACGAGAGAAGTGTTAGGAGAAGAACGACGCGTAGCGGAGTGCTTCTCAACACTTCTCGAGTGTTCTGCATATCCCCAAGTGCTTTATAACTCCACACAGAACAGCAAGCAAGCTTTTTATTTCTTTTATAAAATGCAAAGGGCGCGTGCGTGCTGTGTGCTCTCATAAAGCACGCACTCCCAACTAATCAGAATACGAGATTTATAACAGTTATTTTTTAAATACTAATATCATACCTATATCCTTGGCTGCAAGAGGATTTTCAGCATACATGGCCCAGCCCTCACTAAATGCTGTAAATTGTTGATCATCCAACAAGTCCAGTGACGAAGGACAGGTATCGCTGCAGGGAATCGTCAAAACATGAAGTAGTATATGGTGAGATGCCTTGGTAATAACTTCCGGTAATAACTGGTGGTAATGACTTCCGGTCAATTTACATATTAAACCGGAAGGCCTAGCACTTACTAAATACTTAAAACATAAAGTAATAATGGTAAAGAGAAGGCATTTAACCCGTGAAATAAAAAATACTAGTCAACGTGTAATAGTCAAATAGACACAAAAGAAAACAATGGAATTARGGTCTACTAAAGTGTATTAGTCTAATATCTATTTCACGGGTTTAATGACTTCACTCTAATAATAATAATATTCAAAAAATAAAAATAATATCTCAGGCAATATCGAACCTGAAATTTTCTTCATAACCCTGCAACTGTAAATGGTGTCCCGGCCTTGCTTCGTGTGCGCTCACCGACCACTCTGCGTACTTTGGGCCCATTCGATCCACGAAAAACGGCAAGTTGTACTGCGCCGGTGAAGGGCACCAACTTTGACTCCTGTGGTAACTCTGCACTCCGGCGGAAGGATCAAAGCTGATTGAGACGTCCACTGGGCAGGAAGGCGTGGTCTTTTTTGGTCCAGGAAGATGATAAAATAAGTCGGTGAGCAACGGTTCAATGTGGTTCATACCTTCCCGAGCAATCTTGAACCACTTTTGCATTGCCGCATAACGAACTGGGCAAAACCTCTCTGCATCTGGAAATGGTAAACGATACTAAACGTTACTGAAAAAGGAGTGTTGATAGAATTCATATGCCCTGGTTTTATTTTTATTTCTATACATCACATGTACATCATTATTCGATATTGAGAAGTTATACGAATTCAAAAAGAGGGCATAGACCTCCTAAACTTGGGTGTTTTATTTTCACATTTCAGACCACATTTCATTCGCTAGAGCATCATTTCTTTGATAGATGTGTTGATCATCACAGTGAATGAGCGATCTAAGCGAACGCTGTAAAGAAAGACTTGAAAAAATGATTTCAAGCTTCAACGGGAATCGAACCCATGACCTCCGCGATGCCGGTGCGATGCTCTACCAACTCAGCTATGAAGCCAATCCTGTTGGCGAGCGGTCATTTTTTTTGGGTTCATCAAGCCACTATATGTAGTAAGTGTGAATATTGAATGGGTAGAACTGTGGTGAAATAATGATAGATGTGTTGATCATCACAGTGAAGCTTGAAATCATTTTTCCAAGTCTTTCTTTACAGCGTTCGCTTAGATCGCTCATTCACTGTGATGATCAACACATCTATCATTATTTCACCACAGTTCTACCCATTCAATATTCACATCATTTCTTTGTTTAACGGTTGCGCATGACGACACGTGAATATGGATACAACTCACACAAATAAGTCTTATTCGCAAGAGAATGCAACACATGGTCTGAAAAAGTACGTGGTCAAATCTTGAGTGTGCAAAAAATGCCGGAACGGAAGGGAAGCCACTTAATAGTACACTAACCTCGCATGCTGCTGCATATCTGATGTGCGCGTTCGTCAGATTCGTTAGCTGGGAATGGTTTTTCGTTTAAGAACATCTCTGGTCGGTTGATGTACTTTTTAAATTCTTTCACAGCAATCGACTCATCTTTGATTCCAGTGATATTTTGAGCGATTTGTATCGCTTGTGGATAAAGTTGCCTGAGCATTCTCCAGCCCATTTTGTGAATTTCCGCTGAAAGAAAGAAAAATATGCAAAGTATAGCGATACTTCTATCAAGACCCCTTATTTAGCAAGTTATCCTTAATTAAACAGAGGGCTCAAACGTTCTTCACATATTTGGTATAAAATAAACCTCTATTCAGTGGACGCCTTTTATTAAGCAGACACCATGCAAGCAAGGTCTTGATAGAGGTATAAATGCAGGATACACATCACCGTGGCTTACCTGGAGTATAGGACAGCGTAGTAAAGTAAGATAGTACCATGTTATACGAAGAACTACCGTATAATATTTCTCCTCTCTCGAGATACATCTTTGTCCTTTCATTGGTTCGCGTGCCATTGAAATACACATACCGCACGGGCCGGCTTGCTAGACCATGGATGACATTATCCGGTACACAATACAAGTGATGTTCATTCTCAAGGTAGTATATAAGGTCGTTAAGAGGTTTTCCAATGCGTTCAACGAGCAAGCGCAGCACTGAATTCCTCAATGTTGAGTTATATTTTTCTCTCCACTGATTGACTGTGGTTTTGTTGGCACGAAGAGAAGAAAGAAACCGCGTCATGTTGAACGCATAATTATCTGGAACAAACCAGCCTAGAATGGCGTTACCGTTGTTCCTCTCCCTACCAAACCCGAAATACAAAGACTGCAAACATCTCAATCCTGCTTTACACTCTGTTTCTGTGTTCACCATACCAGATCGTATGCCTCGCCGGACGTTAGCGTGATACTGCGTTATTCCCTCGCCAGTGCGACGGAGCGACGCGAAAACATCCTCTAGAACCTCCGAGTTGCTTGGCTGAAAGAGAAGAAAAATGGTCGCCACTTGAAGCCTGACGTAAGCAATGCCATCTCTCGTACACTGGCTTCCAGGTCCTGACATCCAGGCACCTAAACAAAAGACACAACAACCGTGTCACGTGACCCTAGACATCTTGGTAGGCAGATTAAGATTCCCGATTTTTATTCCCGCAAACGGCAAACGTGACCACGTTTTCATCGTTTCCCTACATTTCACTTTACCTTTTGCAAACCTTCTCGACAAAGACAAGTATTCTTTTGTTTATCTACTACTTAGATTTTTGCGATTCCTTTTCACTAATTTAAAAAAATATTTTAATGGTCAACTGACGTTTCACGTTTGCCGTAAACGAGGATCTTAAACTCTCTAGTTACTGCTGGTTTTCTGTGGAAGAGGAAGGGGTACGCATTACCAAAACGGCCGTCAAACTTATGCGCAGATAGAAACGACCAAAATACAGAGATTCCCTGGACATGCTTATTGTATATTCCTTAGTGGTCATAATGACATAGACTAAAAAAAACTGAACTGCGCGAAAGGGGAGGAATAGTCCCATATACGCATGTGCTAAAATGTAATGACATGGCTGTCAATCTTGATCTGCATTTCTTTTGGTCATATCAAGAGAAAAAATCCTTTAAAAAATGAAAAAAGAAAAAAAAGAAAAAATCAGTAATACAAACCTGCGTAGTAGTTATCCCTAAAAGGACTACCAAAGTGATGCTCCAAAAAGTGTTTAGCAAGAGCAAGCATTCTTCTTTCCCTTATCTTTAGAAGCCTCTTGTTGACTTTGATTTCTTCCAGCTCCTTGGCCAAGGCAATCGAAGAGTCAGTCAAGGCCTTCAATTTTGAGGGTCTGGGGTCGTAGTGGCTGTAAGTTCTTCTCATTTGTTCTACTGACATGTCTTCTCGGTACAGAACCACGTATGGGTATGCCTTTACATACACGTCTCTGATCTTGTTAATGAACTTGGGAATACCTTGTTGTGCGTGGAATTAAACGTTTAAAAAAAGATTCCCAAATGGGGATACTACTCTTCCCAGTAGACCGTTACACCCCACGTTTTTTCAACCCATCCAGAGGAGCTTTTAAACCCTGCGGGCGGGTTTAAAAGCTCCTTTGGATGGGTTGAAAAAACGTGGGGTGTAACGGTCTACTGGGAAGAGTAGTAGCATAAGTAAGTCGAACCATGGTGATACAGGCATAGCGGGAGAAAAGATTTTAGAGATGCGTGCCGAGCGCTTTCATAGATATTGCCGGCGCAGACGAAAAACGAGGCATTTTCCGGCAGTTAAGAAAATATGTTCGCTATTTTCCCCAAAAAAAGTCATGATCATGCTCCCGCACTAAAAGAAATTTCGAAGTATTCCTTTATTAACATTATTTTTACAAAGGTTTGTATGTTTTTGTTTTTGTCTTTGTCAGTTTTTTTTTTCATACGCGCATAAAATCTTGCCCTAAAATGCCTCGTTTTCGAGTCTGAGCACGCGAAATATTTGACAGGTCCTTTGCATCTCTGGAAACTTCCACGCGAGAAAGCTCGATCGCATTTCCAAAATAGCTTTCCCGATTTTCCTCTTTAAAGTAACCTTTGGGTCAATGATGTGCAATATTTGGCTCTTGAGTGCAGATCGTGTTTCTTGTGATACTGTTTCATACGAATGTCATAAGAAATTTCCCAATAAAATTCCTGCTTCTAAAATTGTATTTTAAAATTGTGTAAAATCATATTTTAAGGTGCACAATACCTGCTCGTTTAGCCTCCTCAGAGAAAGCACAGGAATCGTCTGTCGCCGGTGACGTCGTGGTCGTATTCTGGGTCTGTCTTCGCATACGAGGTCTCACTAACCCAGACTGTTGTCTTGTGGTGTCTCTTCCATGGTCGCTTGCTGTGAGGTAATTCTCAGCAGAGAATAGAACAAAGCCAATAAGAATGGCCATTCCTACCAGACCAACCATTCGCTTAGCAGACTTTCTTTCTCCGACATGCTTATTTATGAGAAGAAAATGCGTTTCTTGATAGTCGTTGGTGCGAACTTTATCTTCTTCCATGGTAATGCTTTTCTATGAACGACGACAAGAGCAATCTTGCGAACGACAGACACAATACCCTGAATTAAAGATGTTCTTGAACCGATGCTGTATATCCTGATCCTCTCTGTTGCAATTGGGGTTCCAAAGCCACAAGATTTGACCGAACTTACGAACAAAAGCCCCTGACAGGAAAGATTAAATCCCGACTACGCTTTAAAGCCCTTAAGAAGAAATCCTCCGTAGCCAACATTTAACACAAGGTCAAACTCGGCCACCTATTTGTAAATATTTCACTTTGATCACCAGTGGCCCACCACTGGACGCTTCTGGGCACTTGTATTCGTCGTTTTTCCCCCCTAAAGCCTACAAAGTAGATTGGGCTGCCTGTGGTGAGTGAAGGGAGAAATCCCAAACGACTGAGCACACTCTTTCTCGTCCTCGAAGTTATCACGAACAGATACGAGAATGATTGTTGTTATTTGATGATTGATTTTTAATACTTAAGATTAGATGTCATATCCGGTTACCTCATGCACCCATCCATATTTCTCTCAACGTATTACTTATTATTATACGTATTACGTATTACTTAGCGTGTATTTATGTTGGCACAAGCAAACTCCAAGCAGATTTGACTTCCCATAGCTTTGCATTCCGACACGCACGAACATGTTTCAAAATACCAATTCCAACTTTTTGCAGATGGAAAGCGGGCTTAACACAAAAGGTTTTTTTTAAGGGGGGGGGGGGGTTGTACGGAAAAACTTTTCGATTTCCTGCAGCTCCCATACACTGAAAATATTTTCTTTCCTTCCTAAAACCATTATATATGGCTGGATAGAAATATTTTGTGGGGTTTTTTCGAAAAAAGGTTTAAAAAAAGCTTTTCGGCTGGAAAGACCTTTGCCACCTTCGAAGGATTGTTAGACATAGGGATGGATGGAAATTTTTTACAAGCGAAATGGAAGGAATGTAATTTTTCTTGCCTTTTAGTTGGAAAAACTTTCCCATCTATTACTAAAGACAGGAAAGAAATTAATTTATAATAAGATTTCCCACGTTTTTTTTTTGCTATCCTCCAAAAACAACCCAAGTGGAAATCAAGGAAAAGCTTTTTTCTCCAAAAAAATGAGCTTGATGGCTAGAAAAATTTCCTTTTTAAATTTGACAGTGATTTAGAGCCATTTCACGGAAACATTTTTCTTTGAGTTATTTTGTTCTTGTTTCCAACTTTAGGAAATCATGGGTTCCGAGCGTACGCGGTACGATTGATTTAAAGAAGTTCTCAAATTTCTAGTTTATTTTGTAAGTTTATTTTATTTTTGTTTAGTTAATTGCATTTATTTAGTTTATTTAATTTAATTAGTGAGACGTATGATTTATGTGTGAGAATGATGACGGTGATGATGATGATGTCGTTGTTGATGATGATACGATGATGGATAATGGATCGAGCACAGTTTTGCACTTTTTAGAACTCTTGACTGAACTTAATTAGACAGCAATAAGAAGAGTTAGCCTTTTCGCCAAGGAATCTATACTCAACTTGACATTAGAGAAAAACGTTTGCGCATGCGCGTATTCTAGTTTGAAAGTGAGCTTTGCATATTTTTACAATAGCACGGTGTTAATAAGTACTTAATTAGCACTTGAGATGGCTAATAGTGTATTTTATCCGACCACGTTTTTGAAATCTCCAGCGTAGCCGTAAGTCCATACGACGGTTCAGCACTCGATGTCTGGAAGTATGGTCCTGGTTATTTGTTAATCAATAAATAAAACTAATCCCAAAACTTTTGGAAATTATTGTAAAGTTCAAGCAAGTTTGAAAGTCCAAATAGCAAATTTTTACCACAGTGCAGTGCGAACAAGTTTTTGAGGACTCAGCTTTCAAACTACGAGCATGCGCAGACGTTTTTCACTCTTGTCACTCAACACACAACTGTGCAAGGTCACACGCCAATTGACTTGTATAATACTAAGCAACGCAACTGTGTGACGTTCGTAGAGGTCATTGAGTGAAATCCAGTCACGTTACGATGACAGTCACAAATTGATGAACGCATTTGTTTAATAGTGGGAGTACGTCATGTTACGCGATTCTGTCGTGATCTTCAAAGATGTCATATCGTGAGATTTAATACGCCAGGACAAATGTCACAGTACTTAGGTGTTTAAAGTACAGGCTAATCTTCATCAGAGGAACAGACGTTGTTACAGCCAACAGGGAATGGCGTTAGGGCGCGTTCTGCTGTAGGCCAGTTTTGGAAATTACAAGAGTACCATTCCACTAGATAAGAATAAAATCGCAGGGCTCAGAATTGCGCAAAAAATCCTGAGCATCTAAAGCCGCACCTACTCAATCAGAAAAGGCAACGACTTTTTAAAATCTTTCCCAAAATCACTCATTACACCTCGACCTGGCAGTTCACAAATGTTGGGTACGAGACAAGCATATTCTATTTCGACACTAGTAAACTTCAGCCAACATGAGATGATTTTCAAGAAAAAAAACAACCTGAACACGTGAGATTTTTTTTCAACACGATCTTTCTACTAACGTCGACCTTGTTTAAATTAGTCGACTTGTTTAAGGGGTCCAGATATTTTCACGACTAAGAATTTTTAACAGTTTTTATAATACTCACGTGTTTTATTTAAACCTTCTTCCCATGATACCTTTGGTTCCCATCCTAGAGCTTTGACTTTGGACGAATCCATTGGGTAACGCTTATCATTGAAAGGTCTGTCAAGAATGATGGAAAATGGGAAACGAATAAATGGATTAAAAAGGGATAGATGGATGAATGGATGGTGGAATGAAAAAAGAGATGAATGAATGAAGAAAAAAAAGAGATGGAGGAAGCAAGGAAGAAATGGATAGTTGGATGGATGGATGGATGGATGGATGAATGGATGGATGGATGGATTGTTGGATGGATTGTTGGATGGATGGATGGATGGATGAATGGATGGATGGATGGATGGATGGATTGTTGGATGGATAGTTGGATGGATGGATGGATGGATGGATGAATGGATGGATGGATGGATTGTTGGATGGATGGATGGATGGATGGATGGATGGATGGATGAATGGATGGATGGATGGATGGATTGTTGGATGGATGGATGGATGGATGAATGGATGGATGGATGGATTGTTGGATGGATGGATGGATGGATGGATGGATGGATGGATGGATGGATGGATGGATG